GTCTCAGGAAAATGGCTTGAGCCTAAGTGATCAAGGTTGCAGTGAGCCAAGATCATGCCACTGCTCTCCAGCCTGGAAACAAAGAGAGACCCTATCTCAAAAAAAAAAAAAAAAAGAAAAAAAAGGAAAAAAAAAAAAAAAAAAAAAAAAAAAAAAAAAAAAAAAGGAATGGACTGGCATAAATCTGTTTTCCAAAGTCACAGAATCTCCTGGAGCCTGTTTGCTTGAGGACAGACTCCAGATGTGGGCTCAGTAAAAGGTCCCCAGCCTGCTGACCGGGCCCCTCCCAGGGCGGGCCCATGCTCTCTCCATTGCTGCTAGAGGGCAAATTCAAACACCATCTGGTATGGCTGGATTGGAGAGTGTGGGGAGACTCCAAAGGGGACGGCAGGGAGTGAAAATGAATGACTTGACCGAGTGTCTGAACAATAGGGAATGTTCTCTAATGAAGGAAACCAACATTTGGCTCCAATGTCAGGAAGTAATAGATTGCATGGGAGCCACGGAGACCAGTGCCTGTACAAAAGGTCACCCGAAAGCACGGTACTGCCCAGGAGGCCTCAACAGTAGTGGCCTTCAGGCTGGGTGCGATGGCTCACGCCTGTGATCCCAAGCACTTTGGGAGTCTGAAGTGAAAGATTACTTGATCCCAGGAGTTTGAGACCAGTCTGGACAATACAGCAAGACTCCATCTCTACAGAAATAAACATAAAAAATCAGCTGATCTGACCGGGTGCCGTGGCTCACGCCTATAATCCCAGCACTTTGGGAGGCCGAGGGGGGCAGATTACGAGGTCAGTAGTTCAAGACCATCCTGGCCAACATGGTGAAACCCTGTCTCTACTAAAAATAGAAAAATCAGCCGGGCGTGGTGGCACATGCCTGTAATCCCAGCTACTCGGGAGGCTGAGGCAGGAGGATCACTGGAACCTGGGAGGCGGAGGCTGCAGTGAGCCAAGATCACACCCCATTGTACTCCAGCCTGGTGACAGAGCGAAACTTTGCCTGAAAAAAAAAATTAGCTGATCAGGGTCCCAGCTACTTGGGAAGCAGAGGCAGGAGGATCGGTTGGGCCCAGGAGGTCGAGGCTGCAGTGAGCTGGGTTTGTGCCACTGCACTCCAGTCTGGGTGAGAGAACAGAACCCTGCCCCCAACCCCAACAAAGTAGTATCCTTCAGAGAACTTGCAGGGGTGGGCACTGAAAGCTTCAGGGACCAGCAAAAACAAAAATCTGAAGCCACTTGATGGAGAGGGGAGACTGACAAAGGACATGGGACAGGGTCTCTAAGGAGACCTCAGGGATACAGTTTAAAACCTGGAGGAGCTGATGAGAGCAGCCAGCTCAGAGCGTCAGAGCGCCCTAGACAGAGTTGCCTTTCTTTTTTTTTTTCTTTTTTTTTTGAGACAGGAGTCTTACTCTGTCACCCAGGCTGGAGTGCAGTGTCTTGATCTCAGCTCACTGCAAACTCCCCCTCCCGGGTTCAAGCAGTTCTCCTGCCTCAGCCTCCCTAGTAGCTGAGATTACAGGTGCCTGCCACCATGTCCAGCTAATTTTTTTATTTTTAGTAGAGATGGGGTTTCACCATGTTGGCCAGGCTGGTTACGAACTCCTGACCTCAGGTGATCCATCTGCCTCGACCTCCCAAAGTGCTGAGATTATAGGTGTGAGCCACCACAACTGGCCCACGGTTGCCTTTTGGATGCCATTGGGGGTCTCTACTGCATAGAAATTACTTGGCTGCCTTGGCACTCAAAGTGACAGAGTCCAACAACCCCCAAGCTCCATGGAGGCAAGGACCGCATCTTTCATGGACACATGATAGAAGGTGCTGGCCTGGGCTGGGCGCAATGGCTCACGCCTGTAGTCCTAGCACTTTGGGAGGCTGAGGCGGGTGGATTGCCTGAGCTCAGGAATTCAAGACCAGCCTGGGCAACGTGGTGAAACCCCGTCTCTACAAAAATACAAAAAAATTCACCGGGCATGGTGGCATGTGCCTGTAATCCCAGCTACTCAAGAGGCTGAGACAACAGAACTGCTTGAACCTGGGAGGTGGAGGTTGCAGTGAGCCGAGATCGAGCCACTGCACTCACGCCTGTGTGACAGTGAGACTCCTTCTCAAAAAGAAAAAAAAATGGTGCTGGCCTGGGTCATCATATCTGGAGATTTGGACCCCAGGCCCTGGGAGCCATGCTGCCCACCTTGAACCATGGAGAAGTACCCAGTACCTTATTTAGTTCATTCTACCTCCTCACAAAGAAGGCAGCGGGATAGGGGGGTTCACAAGATGAAATATAGCCCCTCCCCCCCTATTTTTTAGATGGAGTCTCCTATTTCCCAAGCTAGAGTGCAGTGGCTTGATCTCAGCTCACTGCAACCTCCACCTCTCGGGTTTAAGTGATTCTCCTGCCTCAGCCTGCCGAGTAGCTGGAATTACAAGTGCCCACCACCATGGCTGGCTAATTTTTGCATTTTTAGTAGAGATGGGATTTCACCATGTTGGTCAGGCTGGTCTTGAACTCCCGACCTCAGGTGATCTGCCCACCTTGGCCTCCCAAAGTGCTGGGATTATAGGCGTGAACCTCTGCACCCAGCCAAGCCCATTTAACATAGAAGGACCTGGGAGTTTTGGGTTCTTTGACAATGCATACGTTAGTGGTTTAAGAATTTGGCCAGTCTGGCCAGGCACGGTGGTGCACACCTATAATCCCAGCACTTTGGGAGGACAAGGTGGGCGGATCACTTGCAGTCAGGAGTTTGAGACCAGCCTGACCAACATGATGAAGCCTTGTCTCTACTAAAAATCCAAAAGTAGCCGGGTGTGGTGGCACATGCCTGTAATTCCAGCTCCTCTGGAGGTTGAGGCAGGAGAATCGCTTTAACCCGGGAGATGCGGGTTGCAGTGGCAGAGACTGCATCATTGCACCCTAGCCTGGAAACAAGAGCCTAACTCCATCTCAAAACAACAACAACAACAACAACAACAACAAAAGAGAATTTGACCAGCCAGGCTCGGTGGCTCATGCCTGTAATCCCAGCACCTTGGGTGGCCGAGGTGGGAACATCACCAGAGGTTAGGAGTTTGAGACCAGCTTGGTCAACACGGTGAAACCCCGTCTCTACTAAAAATACAAAAATTAGCCGGGTGTGGTGGTGCATGCCTGTAATCCCAGCTACTCAAGAGGCTGAGGCAGGAGAATCACTTGAACCCAGGAGGTGGAGGTTGCAGTGAGCCGAGATCACACTACTGTACTCCGCCTGGGCAACAAGGGTGAGACCCTGTCTAAAAAAAAAAAAAGAAAAAAAAAAGAATTTGGCCTCTCTAGCTGGGTGCAGTGGCTCATGCCTTCATGCCTGTAATCTCAACACTGTGGGAGGCTAAGGCAGGAGAATCACTTGAGCCTAGGAGTTCAAGACCAACCTGGACATCATAGTGAGACTCCATCTCTAAAGAAAAATTTAAAAACTAGCCAGTTGTGGTGGCACACAACTGTAGTCTCAGGAAAATGGCTTGAGCCTAAGTGATCAAGGTTGCAGTGAGCCAAGATCATGCCACTGCTCTCCAGCCTGGAAACAAAGAGAGACCCTATCAAAAAAAAAAAAAAAAAGAAAGAAAAGAAAGAAAGAAATTTGGTCTCTGAGTTACCTGGGTTCAAATTCAGCTGTTATTCAGCATGGGACTCAAAAGTAGGGACATAATCCCACCTCCTCACTGGTGAGGTGGGGACAGAGAACGAGATCCTGGCATACACTGTGCCTTGGAGGGGGCCTCCCTGAGCATCTCGGAGGGGGCTCATTGTGGGTCTGGCACTCATGAGTTGGGTGCTGTGGGTGACGTAGGGAAGGCTCAGCTGAGCTTGGGACCAACTCTGGGCTTTGTAGGAATCTGAAGTCCCTTCTGCAGGGGCCTCTTTGGTCCCTAGAGGCATGTATGTGCCTTTTCCAAGCTGTGCTAATCACAGGCCAGATCTCAACCTGAGTCAGTGTTGTCACATGAAAATAAGTAAGACCGGCTGGGCGCAGCGGCTCAGCCCTGTAATCCCAGCACTTTGGGAGGCCGAGGTGGATGGATCACCTGAGATCAGGAGTTCGAGACTAGCCTGTGCAACATGGTAAAACCCCATCTCTAATAAAATACAAAAAATTAGCTAGGCATGGTGGTATGCACCTGTAGTCCCGTCTACTGGGGAGGCTGAGGCAAGAGAATTGCTCAAACCCAGGGGTGGAGGATGCAGTGAGCCGTGATCACGCCATTGTACTCCAGCCTGAGTGACAGAGTGAGACTCTGTCTCAAAAAAAAAAAAAAAAAAAAAAAAAAAGGCTGGGTGAGGTGGCTCATGTCTGTAATCCCAGCACTTTGGAAGGCTGAGGCAGGTGGATCATTTGAGGTGGTCAGGAGCTCAAGACCAGCCCGGCCAACATGGCGAAACCCCATCTCTACTAAAATACAAAAATTAGCCAGGCATGGTGGCAGATGCCTGAAATCCCAGCTACTCTGGAGGCTGAGGCAGGAGAATCACTTGAACCCAGGAGGCAGAAGTTGCAATGAGCCAAAATCACACCACTGCACTCAGCCTGGGTGACAGAGCGAGACTCCCTCTCAAAAATAAATAAATAATAAAAATACAAAGATTAACCGGGCGTGGTGGCGCGCACCTGTAATCCCAGTTTCCTCTGAAGCATGAGCATCTCAAACCTGGAGGTGGAGGTTGCAGTGGGCTGAGATTGTGCCACTGCTCTCCAGCCTGGGCTACAAAGTGAGACTCTGTCTAAAAAAAGAGAGAGATGGAGTAACAGCCAGCCAGACTGAAGAAGAGCAAGCACAGGGCCAAGGAGAAAGCATGCTGAAGGGTCCTTGCTGGACCTGAGCCAAGGTGGACAATTCTGGGACACGGGGACAGATACACTGTCTGAATTGGTAACAATAAATGCTTTGGAGACCTCAGAGTGAAAAGGTTTACTCCTTGGATCCTGCCCTCCCCTTGGACTGCTTCGATTCTAATGAGGACAGGCCAGCCCCTGGAGGCTGCAAGGAGCCACAAACCTTTCCCAGAGCTCACACTCTGCACCCCCCAGTCTCCGCCGCTAAAGAATCAGCCTCAGGAAGATGGAGTGTCCACAGTATGTCCTCATTACCCAGTCACACCGGGTAGCATGGCCCGAGACAGCCCTCATCTCTCCCCTCTTTAAAACCCTCAGCATCACAGCAGGAACCAGTCCACAGGGTTTACCAGTGGGATACGCAGTGAAAACAGAAAAACGTCTGTTACAAATCCCCTAAACCTGAGATGACTGAAGAGCGAGATTCCAACACCCCATCCGACGCCCCCAGGCGGTAGGAGATGACCCCAAGCTCCCGTGCCCTGGGCAGAGTGGTGTGCCTGGGGAGGGCTGGCAGGGGTGCTGTGCTGTGCCAGACCCTGGCCTGCTGTTCAGTCAATCCCGATGGTTGGGTTAAGCCACGAGTCGTTAAGGGCTGCGGATTTGTTACTTGCTGCATCCTGCTGAAGTCCAAGCTAGCTAAAGGGTGGAATCCATCAGTGGGTGGCCGTTCTCGGGAAGCATAATGCGAGTGCTGGCATGTCCCCGGGCAGAGGAGGCATCGTGGGCAGACTCATGGGGGGACCGACGGAGGCACGTGCAGCAGAGGAGGCGGCGGAAGGTGCGGCGCATCTCAGCATCTCGGCAAGAGTACACAGCAGCATTGACCAGTGAGTTGGCCTCGGCCAACAGGAGGAAGTACTTCTCCACAGCCAGGACATTGCAGGACTGGCAGCCCAGACCATCCAGGAGCAGCACCACCTGGCCTGGTGTCCAGCAGACCACAAACGCCCCTGTGGGATAGAGGCGGAGGTGAGCGGGGCCAGCTGTCAGAGGCCCGGCACCCGCAGCATTCAGTTTGGGGTTGGTCTCCAGGGCTCGAGCAATAACGGTGCAGTTTGCAGTGCAAGAGCTGCTTGTTTTGCTGATTCTGCAGTGTCACAGGAAGACCTGCTAAAAGGTGACATCTGTGCTAATTGGTACACAGTGGCCAAGGCACTGCACAGTTTGTGTGTGTTTTTTTGAGACAGGGTCTCCTTCTGTCACCTAGGCTGGAGTGCCGTGGTGACAGAAGGATCACTCAGCACCTCACTGCAGCTTTTGAGAGACTGAGGCAGGAGAGTCACTTGAGGCCAGGAGTTTGAGACCAGGCTGTGCAATATGGTGAGACCCTGTCTCTACAAAAAATAAAAAATTAGCCTGGCCGGGCACAGTGGCACGTGCCTGTAGTCCCAACTACTCGGGAGGCTGAGGCTGGAGGATCGCTTGAGCCCAGGAGTTCTGGGCTATAGTGCACTGTGCCGCTCGGGTGTCTGCACTAAGTTTGGCATCAATATGGTGACCTCCCGGGAGCGGAGGACCACCAGGTTGCCTAAGGAGGATTGAGCCAGCCCAGGTCGGAAGCAGAGCAGATCAAAACTCCCGTGCTGATCAGTAGTGGGATCGCGCCTGTGAATAGCCACTGCTCTCCAGCCTGGAAAACATAGCTAGACCCCATCTCTAAAAAATAAAAATAAAGAAAAAAGAAAATTAGCCAGGCATGGTGGTGCATGTAGTCCCAGCTACTCAGGAGGTTGAGGCAGGGGGATCGCCTGAGCCCAGAAGGTTGAGGCTGCAGTGAGCTATGATGGATCCACTGTAATCTAGCCTGGGCAACAGAGTAAGACCCTATCTCTTAAAAAATATTGAAATGTGGCCGGGCGCGGTGGCTCAAGCCTGTAATCCCAGCACTTTGGGAGGCCGAGGCGGATGGATCACGAGGTCAAGAGATCGAGACCATCCTGGTCAACATGGTGAAACCCTGTCTCTACTAAAAATACAAAAAATTAGCTGGGCATGGTGG